ACTACTTTCCTTGTGTCTTTGGTGTTCTTCATTCTCCTTTACTCCAGGTGGTTGGGACCAATTGATGCATCTTAGATGGCCGCTTGCAAGCTATTAAGACCTCAGATGCCACTCACCGAAGTAGGATGCACAACATTTTCTTAATAAGCTTTTTTATGCCGATTCACCTAGATTTCCCCTGAAAGATTGGTCCCCAGAACCCTACCCCTGCTACTCTGTCCCTCAAAGTGTTTAATTGTATTCAGGAAAATTCTTAGCTTTGGTTTAGTCCAGTTGTGCTGACTTCCCCTGTAGTGTGTGCTGTCCTTCACTTCACCTAAGATAATTCTTATCTACTATTTAGTTACTAAATAAACCTCACCCTCCCTCCCGACCCTCGTAACCATCAAAGAATGTTTTCTTCTGTGTTTAAACCTTTTCCTGAGTTCTTATAATAGTGGTATTATACATATTTGTCCTTCTGTGACTGACTAAATTCACTCAGCATAATGACTTCCAGCTTCCTCCATGTTATAAGATGGTTCACAGCTTCATCGTTGTTCTTTATCATTGCTTAGTATTCCATTGTGGGGATATACCATAATGTGTTTATCCATTCATCCATTGATGGGTTGTTTCCTAGGTTGTTTCCATCTTTTTGATATTGTTAACTGTGCTGCAATGAACATGGGTGTGCATATATCTATTCATGTGACAGATATTATTTCTCTAGGATATATTCCAAGGAGCGGGACAGTTGGATCATATGGTACTTCTATTTCTAGCTTTTTAAGGAAGTGCCAAATCGATTTCCAAAGTGGTTGTACCATTTTACATTCCCACCAAAAGTGTATAAGTGTTCCAGTCTCTCCACAACCTCTCCAGCATTTATTATTTTGTGTTTTTTGGATTAATACTAGCTGTGTTGGAGTGAGATGATATTTCATTGTAGTTTTGATCTGCATTTCTCTAATGGCTAATGATCATGAGCATTTCTTCATGTGTTTGTTAGCTGCCTGAATATCTTCTTTGGTGAAGTGCCCGTTTATATCCTTTGCCCATTTTTTAATTGGGTTATTTGTCTTTTCGTTGTTGAGGTTTTGCAGTATCTTGTAGATTTTAGAGATTGATGCTGATCGGATTTGTCGTAGCCAAAAATTTTTTCCCAGTCCATAGGTTGTCTTTTGACTCTTTTGGTGAAGTCTTTTGATAAGCATGAGTGTTTGATTTTTAGGAGCTCCCAGTTATTTAGTCTCTCTTCTGGTGCTTGTGTATTGTTACTTATGGTTCGTATTCTGTTTATGCCATGTATTAGGGCTCCTAGCATTGTCCCTATTTTTTCTTCCATGATCTTTATCATTTTCGATTGTATATTTAAGTCTGATCCATTTTGAGTTAGTTTTTGT